TCCCTTTGCCGGAGCTGCGGCTCCCGGCGTGCTCCGCTCCCGCGTCAGCCTCCCCGCTTCCCTCCCTCTCCTCCTTCCCAGCATCCCCGCAGCAAGCCCGGCAGGTTTTGGGTCATATCACCGGTGCGTGACAGGCTGCGGGTGGCAGTGGAACCCCGATCGTGGGGGGCTCAGCCCCTGGGCTCCTGCTCCGGCCAAGCGACGCTGAAGGGGCAACCGACCTTCTCGCTGAATTCCGAGGGGATTTGGATTGCTGAAAAATTTGGGGCTTTCCAGGTCACTTCCCACCACCCACCCTGTCCAAGCACATCTCATGGCACAAGCTGGATATTCCCTTTCTGAGCAGAAATCCCAGGGACACTCGTTGTCCCTCGGGGAGCTGGGGGATCTTCGCACGGTTTGGGATTGTATGAGGTGATAAACATATTTGATCCGGTTTCTTTCATCTCGTTAATCTTAATTAGTTATTAATATTCTGGGAGTGCTTTGAAGGCCACAAGCTCGGTGCAAACGCTCCCTGGTACTACTGGTGTTACTATTACTCAGTGTGTGTGACCCACATGCTGGCGAGGGCCCAGGCTGCAGCCTGGAAGCCACAAAGGGATCTGACAAGCCCCATGGAGCCCCACAGAGTCCCACGGAGCCACATGGAGTCCTGCTGAGCCCCACAGAGGTCCATTAAGCCCCATGGAGCCCCAGAGATCCCCACAGAACCCCACAGAGTGCTGATGGAGCCCTGTGGAATCTTCCATGGAGCCCTGCTGAGCCCTACAAAGCCCCACAAAGACCTGGTGAACCTCATGGAGTCCCATGGAGTCCTGATGAGTCCCATGGAGCCCCCCAGAACTCCACAAAGCTCCATGGATTCCCATAGAGCTCCACTGAGCCCTGCTGAGCCCCACCAAGCCCCATGGAGTCCCACGGAGTCCCACAGAGCCCCATGGAGTCCCACAGAGCCCCATGGAGCCCTGCCAGGCCCAGTTGGTCCCTCACTGCCAGCTCAGCCTCTGTGTACCCAGAGCACAGCACAGCCCCATCCTCCAGCACGGGGGGGTGACACTCGGAGATGATCCATGTGTAGGACCTGTGACACCAATCCCGCAGCCTGCCGTGGTCCCTGGGCTGGCTCCCTGGGCACTGGCACCTCCCACCTGACCTAGAAACAGCCCTGAGCTATAAATAGGGCGGGAGCCAAAGGAGAGCTCAGAGGAGCAGCTTGGAATGCTGCAAGCCGGAGGCTGTGGGAGCTGGAATGGCATGGCAAGGACAGGCAGGGGACACAGGGTGACATGGGACGTGGGAAGGGGTGAGGCTGGACCCACTCTGTCCCCAGCAGCCCATGGAGTGGGGTGTGCAAGGAAGGCAGGTGTGGCTTTCACCGGCCTGTGTCCTGCTGGCCCAATGGTGCAGGGAGCACCATAGCTCTGCCCCCATCTCCCAGAACTTTCCCTTTTCCCAGCACCCTCACCCCATGATGCTCTCCTGCCCTGTGCCACCCCTTTCCCAGCCCCACAGCAGCTGCTCTGGGCACCATCAGCCCCCATCCAGCCCACCCTGTGGGCACTGGGGTGCTTGGGGGGCACTTGGCTCTGGCAGTTCTGCTCTCACGCCACGCAGATGCCCACATCCCAGTGGGGATCACCCACATCCCAGCGGGGATCACCCACATCCCAGTGGGGATCACCCACATCCCAGCGGGGATCACCCACATCCCCGTGGGGATCACCCACATCCCAGCGGGGATCACCCACATCCCAGCGGGGATCACCCACATCCCAGTGGGGATCACCCACATCCCAGCGGGGATCACCCACATCCCAGTGGGGATCACCCACATCCCAGCGGGGATCACCCACACTGGGAGCACTCGAGCCACGGGTGCCGGAGCTATTGCAGGAACTGGTGAGTGGAGGGAGACTGAGGGCACTGGCACCGCTGCCTTTCCCAGAGCCCAGACCCTGGGGCCGGCAGTGCCCCGTGCAGCTGCCAAGCGGGAAGAGGGTGACAGTGGCACAGCCGATCCCGACACAAATTAAAGCACAGTGCTGGAGTGTGATTCACCCTCCTGCTTTAAAGTCATTCATGAAAAGATTCATTGCTCTGCGTCCTCTACAGGAGCAGATCAGAGCCGGCAGTGAGTCAGTGCCGATGGCTCCCCCGCCCTGTCCAGGGGTTGGGTGGCTCAGGGGGCAATGGGACAGCCCCAATCCCAGCAGAGCAGGCACAGCTGGTGTGTGGGAACAGCCCACTGCCACCCCTCAGAGCATGAGGAAGCCCCATGGCTGTGGGTCAGGTCAAAGCGGCATCAGGGGAGCAAAGGGACCCAGCACCCAGCTGAGAGTCAAACAAATTGTGGTCTGTGTTAAATGTCCCTGCTCCACGTCTGTGGGAACAGAAGGAAATGCAGGAAGAGGCGATGTGCCCAGGGGTGCTCCAAGGAAGAGCACGGTGCCTACCCCTCACCTTCCTCCGGAAAAGCTGTCACTGTCCCCTGGCCTGGAGGTACCTGGGAGCTCCTGGTGCCCAGCTCTGGCATCGCTTGCTGAGCGTGTTGCCAAATTTAAGGAGGCTGAAGGAAAGCCTCTGTGCTGCCTTTGCCTCAGCTGGTATTCCCTAGCTCAGCCCAAAGGGTCTTACCATCTGTGGGAAGCCTCATGTCCTGCATGTATTGAGGAGCAGCTCTTGGGGAGCAGCCTGTGCTATGGTGAGGCATCACCTGTGCCATGGTGGAACAGATTGCCCACAGAAGCTGTGGCTGCCCCATCCCTGGAAGCGTTCAAGGACAGGTTGGATGGGCCTTGGAGCAACCTGGTCTAGTGGAAGGTGTCCCTGCCCATGGCAGGTCCCTTTCCATCCAAACCATTCCATCACTCTAGGATTCATGGTGGGCATCACCCACACCACAGTGGACATCACCTGTGCCAAGGGAGAGGGACCAAAGCCTTGAAGGGCTCAGGGATAGCAGTGCCCGGGGGACCAGTGGGCAGCAGGATCAGTGCTGTGCCTTGTGGGAGGCGTGTGTGCCTGGACACTCCTGCTGCATGGTGCCGGTGCTGCTGACCCTCATATGCTCCAAGCTCAGACTATCGGGGTCCTTGGGAGGGTGAGGGGTGTGAAGCTGACCCCTTAGGAGCACCGGTCTCGTCTCTATTGTCCCCAGCCCCGTGGTCTGCTCCGTGCCGAACCCGCGGTACCGGAGCTCCGCACCCGGTGGGGAGGGGGCGGCTCATCCCTGACCCCCCTCTCCAGGGCTACTCCCGCTCTTAATCCCTTCAGCTACATGGAGGGCGGGGACAAGCAGCGCCCCGCATCCCTCATCGCGCATCTCCCCATCCCCGCGGGGCCGGCGGCGGAGCCCCCCCGCTCCTCCTGCTCCTCCCGCTCCGCGCTCCCTCCCCAGGGCGGCGCCGGTGCCGGTGCGGGCGGAGCGCGGCGCGGGGCGGGCGCTGCCGGGGGCTGCGGGGGGCTCGGCTCCGCTCCGCTCCGCTCCTCCGGCGGCGGCGGCGGCGGGGCCGCGGCATGAGGAGCCCGGCGGGGCGAGCGGAGGGCGGCAGCGGCGGCTCCTCTCCCGCCGGGGACGGGGCGCGGCGGCGGCTCGTCCCTCCGGTAAGGCGGCGGTGCGGGGCTGGGGGTGCGGGGATGAGGTGGGGCGATGGGGGTGCGGCTATGGGGGTGCGGGAGACGCTGCCCGCCCGGTACCGAGGCCGCCCTTTGTTTGCCCGCACGGCGCTGGGAGGGGGCAAACCCTTCATCCCGGTACAACCGGGGCTCCGGGATGAACGGAACGGGGAGAGGCACCGCGCGGTGCGGGCGCTGCCCCCGGGATCGGCCGCCCTCCCCGGCCCGGGTCCCTCCTGCGGCCGATGGCACCTGCGCTCCGGGCGGCCCCGGCACGGCGCGGGGGGGACGGGGAGGAGGGATGGGGACGGAGAGGCGTTGAGCGACACCGGAGCGGAGCCGGGGCCGGGGGACCGGGGGGCTCGTCCCCGGGGGCTCCCCATGGATTTGGGGGCGTCTGGAAGGATGCACTGAGGTGGAAGGCAGCTGGAAGCAGGGGAAGGGGAGAGCAGGGAGAGGCGGCCTCGGGGGCAGCTCAGGCCATGTCCCCTCGTGTCCCCTCATCACCTCCCATCGTGTCCTCTCATTGTGTACCCTTGTGTCCCCTCATCACCTCCCCATGTCATCTCCCCTTGTTTTCCATGTTCCCTCATCTCCCCTTGTGTTCCCTCATCAGCTTCCTGTCTTCCCTCTTACCTCCCCGCGTTGTCCCCTCATGTCCTCTTGTCATCTCCCCTCAAGCCCCCTCACCATTTCCCCTCCTGTCCCCTCATTGTCTCCTCATTGTGTCCTCTCTTGTCCTCTTGTCATCTCCCCATCTCATCTCCTCTTGTCATCTCGCCTTGTGTCCCCTCGTGTCCCTTCATTGTGTCCCCTCATGTCCCCTTATGTTCCCTCATCACCTGCCCTGTCCCCCCTTTCCCCCCCCCCCATGTGCCCCCGTGTCCCCTCGGTGCGGGCACGGGTGTGGACCCCCCTCCATCCCACCCCAGCCTCTCCCCGGCTGCGGCGGGGAAGGGGGAGCGTGACCCACTTTCCTCCAGGTCCGGCCCCGCTGCCGCTGTGGCCGCGGGCAGGCGACGCCAGCCGGGAGCCCCACCACAGCTCGGGGACCGGGAGCGGGGACAGGGACAGGGTGGTGCAGCCTCAGCACCCCTCTGTGCCAGACCGGTGTGGAGGTGTCACCCACGGGGAGGTGAAGCTCAGAGCTGGGTGCCCACACACCGAGCCCCCGACCTGCCCGGCGCTCAGGGTGGCCCTGAGCGGGGTGTGCCCGTGCCCTGCCCGGGATGCCGTGGGAGGAGATGAGGCACGGTGGCGGTGGGAGCACCCTCCTTCCTGGGAGCATTCCCAGCGGTGGGAGCCGGGGCCGAGGCAGGGGGGATGCCCAGGCTGCGTGGGGCACGTACAGGCTGTGCAGCCTCTTGGGTGGTGTCAGCTCTGGTTTTTCTGGTGGGGTGATGTGCCCCCATTGTCCCCGGGAGTGAGCAGGGCTGAGGGCCAGCTGGCCCTGCCCTGGGGACCCGGTGGGCAGGCAATGGGCAGGTGCCGTTCGGGGCATTTGTCTTTGCAGATCCCAACCGTGCGGTGCTGCTGGCGCTGGTGGAAGAGTTTTGGGAGGGAGATGATGACAGGCTGATGAAACCAATCAAACAATGAAGTAATCATAAATCCCCGGTGCCGGCGGTGAAGGCGGGAGCAGCTGGAGGCTGGAGGAGCTGAGGTCCTAACGAAACCATCCCGCTCAGCAGCAGAAATCCCGGGAGGCCGAAGCACTGAAAGGTGGCCAAGGTCCTGTCACCAGGGCTGATGGACAGAGACAGCACAGCACAGTGTGGATGAGGGCGGGGAAAATCCTGCTGGCAGCTCCGGGGGAGCAGTGCAGAGGGCACGGAGGACAGCAGCAGGAAGGAAGAGTGGTGGCTCCCCAGGAGCTGTTGGAGGAGAGAGTTCTGGTGCTGCTTTGTTTGCTCTTCACAAATTTGCCTGCGAAACCTGAATCCTGGGACCAGAGGCTGAGGAATCTTGTCACAGGCTGATAGTCAGGATGGGAGATGGATCCCACAGCGGGAGACACTACGGATGGGTGTGAGGGGGCCTGACCCTGCCCCACAGCTGGGACATCCCCACCGGGAGAGCAGCTCCTGCCAACTGGGATCCTGCACGTGGCTGGGCATTCATTGGCTTTGCTGAAGACGAGCCTGGTGCTGAGAAGGCTGCTCTAGTCTAGGCAAGGAGCTGGTATGAGAATTGTTGGATACCTTGGAATTCAGTGCCAATTCAGTCCCAGATTGGAGTCACTGGGAAGTGACCAGTTGCTGCAGGTGCTTTGGTGGAGGTTTGGTGCTAGTTCGGGTGGTGTCAGTGGTGCTCCAGCACTTCCCTGCAGAGCCAGCTGGAGAGCGTGTAGATGTGCCCCATCCATGGCCTCTCTGGGGGTGGCTGCTCCTCCCAGGCAGAGGGGCTGTTCCCAAACTGCTGCCACAGGCTGATGTCCCTGAGCCACCTGTGACCGACCACTTCCTGGACATACTCAGCTTATCCCGAATGGTTTCGGATGGTCCTGGGATGGCACAGGGGTGAAGGAACTCTTTCCCTACACGTTTTGCTGCTTTTGGCGGGGTGGGAGGCAATGGCTGGCCGGGGTGGAGGCTGCCCAGCCGTGGCAGGTACCAGTGGCTCTGAGCCCCCGTGAGATGCTTGTCCTCCCCCTGTGCCTGCAGAGACGGCCTCGTTAGGTGAAGGTGCCTTTGCAAGCCCTCCCTGGGCTCCACCGTGCCACGGCCCCCAGGAAGCACAGCTCATATCTGTTATCTGTTGTGCGGGTCCCAGCGGTGCGGAGGAAAGGAGAGGATGTCCCTGGAACGGGGTCAGGCAGGAACAGAGGCAGTGGGGTCTGGAAATGGAGCGGGGCACTGGGAGGCAGCGGCTCCGCTCGGGGCACGGCCAAAGCACCACTGGCCCCTTGCCCCGGGGACACCCCAGCACCAGGGTGGTGTGGGAGGAGGGGGACCAGGAGCAGCCAAGGGCCAACCCCCCTTGGACATGACTTTGCTGGCTCAGTGGGTAGTTTGGGGAAAATAGGGGAGGTTTGGGAGCTGGTTAGGGTGTGAAGGGAGGCAGCTTCCTCCTGATGGGTGCCTTGGCCTCCAGCCTGCTGGGCTTGGAGGGGAGTCAGTGTTACCTGCTAATAACTAAGGATTTGGGGATGGCAAAGGGAGAAATCAAAGCTCTGCCCAATACCTACCAAGTGCAGGGACAGAGCAGTGTGGGCCTGTGCCCATCCCACTGCTGCATGTTTCTCATTTCTCCCCTCTTTAAAGAGAAATTGGGGTCTTGCCAAGGCCCTGCCCCTGCCCTGCATAGGTTTTCCCTTTGTTTTTCCAATTCCTTTCCCCAGAGCAGCCCATGGTGCAAGTCCCATCCCCTGGCCAGGCTCCCAGCCCTGCACTGGGGTCAGCCCAAACCCTTTTCCTCTAACCTCCCTCAATAAATGGGTTGTTTTTCTGTCAGTCTCTGATGCGACCAGAGGGAGTTTTTCCCCCTTTCCCTCTTAATTTCCAAGCAGCTGCTGCTCCAGCAGCCTCCTCTAGGGGAGCCTGGGGCAGCTCTCCCGGGCCGTCCTCTGCTCCTCTCAATGAGCTCTTAATGAGTTTGCAATTAGTTATCGGCAGAGCCGATGTGCCCAGGGCTGGGTGTGCAGTGGTGTGGGATGTGGAGCAGGATGCAGAGCAGGGCAAAGCATCTCTTTCTAAGGATCAGAGTGGGAATGGTTTGTTAGTGCTGGCCTCAGTACCTGGCAGGATGCTGGGCTCTGGATATGGGATTATGTCTTCCCGGGATTTGCTCTGTGATGTTGGTGATGGAGCCGGGAGGTTTGGGAAGAGGAGCAGCAGCTGCCGACGGAGACGAGTGGCTGCCTATAAATACCTGCCAGGGAGCAAGGAAGAAGTGGGTGGATTATCCTCCTCACTCAATGAGATAAACGGTTCTGAAGCTTAAACACAGAACAATTTTAGTCTGAATAGTAGGAGAAACGGTTCAGGATGCGGAGATGACGGCAGGAACTGCCTGTGGTGAGCGGCAGGTCCTGGTGCCACGTGGCAGCAGCTCTGCTGCCCCTTTGCCATTCCCAGGATCCAGAGTGGTGGGGGCCTTTGCCAGGGCTCAGCTGGGATGTGCATCCTTACTCCCTTCTTGGGAAAGCTCCTTCAGGAACACCCGAAACAACTGAGCTGGGAGAAGGCGGGTTTGGCTTCCTTTGGGCATGGTGATCTTCCAGTGTTTAGGGGCAGGGCAGGAGCTGGTGCGCTGAGAAAAGGCCCCATTTTGGCTGTGGTGACCCGATCTGGCACATTGGTGGGCCTGGCCTGGGCACAGAGGGCAGCCAAAGACACGAGACCTCAGCCCCAGCTGTACCAGGCTGGTGGGATCTCTTGCTGCATTGGCACCATCATCTCCCCGTGTCCTGCTGTTCCCCCATCCCAGCTGTCCCTGTGAGCGTGCAGAGCTGGAAATGAGCCCTCGCTCCCACCCGCTGCTGCCCCGCTTCGCTGCTCACATCAAACCCAACATGTTTTCAAAAGCATTTCAATTTTTAATGAAAACTTCTGTGTTTACGCTTCCCTCGGTCTCGGCACATTGGTATTTTGGTCACCGCTGCTGTTGGGGCTCTCCCGGGATCGCTGATGGCTCCGTGTTCCCGTTAGCCCTGGCACAGCGGGGTGTGCTGTGCGGAGCCGGCACTGCGGCAGGATCCCGGCAACGTCCCCGTCCCTGGAAGCACATCCCTGTGCCAGCCGTGCAGACCACAGCAGGGACACCGGGCTTGGTGGGATCTCTGTTTCTCATGGATTTTCCTCGTTTGATGGTCAGAGACACCTGGAAACCCCAACAGGTTGAGCCAAGAGGAAAAGCAAACAGCCTTTGACTTGGAAAGCATTTCCACAACGCATAATCCTTCCCCTCCTCTCTCCCATCCAACCAACAGGTTCTTTTCCTCAAAGCCCAACTTTCCTGACGTGAATAATTGCATTTCAACACCGGTTAATTAAGAGGCATCGATGAGCGTGATTGTAAATCCAAGTGTAGACGGAATTCTTCTTGCAGGATGCTGGGGGCTGTTTTCAGTCCTGCCTCCAGCAAGCTGCTGCACTGATCCACCTCCACCTCCAGCACCCAGACGCTGAGATGGTGCTCCTCTGCCAGGAGGCCAATGAAACACTATGGAGATGAGCTGCTTTGGAGATCTTATGAGTCAAACTGTTACATTTTTGGAACATCATGATGTTGAAGTTCCTTTTCTATTTTTTCCCCAACTTCCCAGGGAAAAAAATATAACTATAATAAGTGAAGAAGCTGAGCTTTGCTTTGGGATGAGAGGCAGCATGGTGCAGGGAAGGAAGGAGGAAGAAGTTGGAGACCAGTCTCAGTCTTGTTGGGAAAGGGTTGGGTGTGATCTTGACCCTGGGGGGTTGTGGGTGCTTCAGGGGGTGATGGAAGATGACGCAGCACCCTGAAGACAGTGTGGTGAGTGACTCCAAGCTCTTGTTGTAGGGATGGTCAGAGTGAGGAAAAAGAGTCACTGGTTTGATGGGAGTGAAGAATGTTGGTGCTGTTGTCCATGTACTGCTGGCTGGGCCACCCCTTGCTCGGCTTTGGTGACATCCCACCTGGAGTATCGTGCCCAGCTGTGGGGTCCACAGCACAGGAAAGATGTGGATCTGTTAGAGCAAGTCCAGAAGAGGCCACAAAGATGATTATTGGGATGGAGCACCTCTGCTATGAGGAAAAGCTGAGAGAATTTGGATTTTAAAGCCTGGAGAAGGCTCCAGGGAGACCTGAGAGCCCCTTCCAGTGCCTAAAGGGGCTCCAGGAGAGCTGGAGACGGACTTTGGACTGATAGGTCTGGACTGATAGGCCAAGGGGGAATGGCTTCCCACTGACACACCGCAGGGTTAGGTGGGATATTGAGAAGGAATTCTTCCCTGTGAGGGTGGTGAGGCCCTGGCGCAGGTTGCCCAGAGAAGCTGTGGCTGCCCCATCCCTGGAAGTGTTGAAGGCTGGAGAGAGCTTGGATCAACCTTGTGTAGAGGAAGGTGTCCCTGCCCATGGCAGGGGATGGAATGAGTTGAGCTTTGAAGCTCCTTCCAACTGAAACCAGTCTGGGATTCTGTGATTCTCTGAACCAGGGCATCCATCACCTTGGCAGGGGGAGGCCAAGAGTCAGTGCTGATGGATAGTCAGAGGGATATGATGGAGGGATTTCTGGAAGAGCCATCATATCCCGCCTGGTTCCTGCAGCATGGCCCTGGCTCTGCTCTGGAGTGTCACTGGCTTGGGGGAGGCTCGGCTCTGGAGGGGGCTGCAGTGGTGGAGGGGACAGGGCTGGCTGCCAGGGTCCCCACTGAGGACTGTGGCAGCAGTGGGGGGCCCCTAAAGGTCTCAGTGTGTGGTGGCTGTGAACACACCAGGGCTGAGGAAATGTGTGTGTCCGTGTGTGTCCATGTGTGTGTCCACATCCCTGCCCTCCTGTCTCTGCCATGCCCTGAGCCCTCCCTTTGCCCCCAGACGTCCCCCTGAGTTGGTAGCACAGGGACCACTGACCCACATGGCTGCAGCCCCACAGAGACTGGAGTATCCTCTCCAGAGCAATTTGGTTGGTGGCCACAGGGCACAGAGGGGTGGCACTCAGTGGGGGCTGCTCCAGCCCTGGGGGTGGGATGGGATGGGATGGGATGGGATGGGATGGGATGGGACGGGACGGGATGGGATGGGATGGGACAGGACATGGTGGCTTTGCAGCACCCACCGAAATGCTGCCACGCCTCTGCCTTGCAGCGCAACCATGAGCGCGGGTTCGATTGAGCAGGAGCCGTCGCGCAAGCTGGCCTGCTGCGGGGTGCCCCTCATCACCGAGGACATGCAGTCCCTGGCCATCCGCACCCTCTCAGGCACCGACATCAGCAAGCACTACGACCTCATCCGCGAGCTCGGCAAGGGCACCTACGGCAAGGTGGACCTGGTGTCCCACAAAAGCACAGGTGAGTGGAGCAGGGGGCTGTGCTGGGAGCAGAGCGCCTGGCACATCCCAACCGTGCCCCGAGCTCACCTCCGTCCCCTGCCCTCCGCAGGCACCAAGATGGCCCTGAAGTTCGTCAACAAGAGCAAGACGAAGCTGAAGAACTTCCTGCGGGAGTTCAGCATCACCAACACACTCTCCTCCAGCCCCTTCATCATCAAGGTCTTTGACGTAGTCTTCGAAACTGAGGACTGCTACGTCTTTGCTCAGGAGTATGCCCCTGGTGGGGACCTCTTCGACATCATCCCGCCGCAGGTGAGAGCCCCCGCCCCTCCCGCAGGAGCCCTTTTGGGATGTGGGGGCTCAGCATCCCCAGGGCTCTGAGAAAAGCTGCTGTGGTGCTTTGGTGCCCCTGTGGGAGGGGGCTGTGGGTGCAAGGACTGGGCAGCCCTGTGTGGATCACTCCTGAACACAAGCACCTACAAGCAAGTCTGGGACCGATCACCCATCCCCTGGGTGGCTGAGATCCATCCCTAGGGTGGCCTGGGACCGATCACCCATCCCCTGGGTGGCTGAGATCCATCCCTAGGGTGGCCTGGGACCGATCACCCATCCCCTGGGTGGCTGAGATCCATCCCTAGGGTGGCCTGGGACTGATCACCCATCCCCTGGGTGGCTGAGATCCATCATCCATCCCTAGGGTGGCCTGGGACCCATCACCTGCCCCTAGGGTGATCTGGGCCTTGTAATGCATCCGTAGGGTGGCCTGGGACTTATGACCATCCCCTGGGTGGTCTGAGATCCATCACCCATTGCTAGGATGGCCTAAGGCCCATTACCTATCCCTAGAGTGGCCTTCCCATCACCCTTCCCTTGGGGAAGCTGTGGCTGCCTGAACCCTGGAAGTGTTCAAGGCATGTTGGACAGGGCTTGGAGCAACCTGGTCTAGTGGAAGGCGTCCCTGCTCATGGCAAGGGGTGAAATGAGATGGCCCTTAAGGTCCCTTACAACCCAGACCATCCTGGGGTTCTATGGGGAGTCACCACCCATCCCTCAGCTGGCCCAGGTCCCACCACCCATCTCCCTGCCTCTGAAAGCACCCAAATAACACCATCCATGACCATGTTGGATGTGTAACAGATATATATGGGGTCCCCGAGCTGGGTGGGAACACCCCAGGGCTCGGTGGCGGGTGGCTGACGCCGTGTCTGCACAGGTGGGGCTCCCCGAGGAGCTGGTGAAGCGCTGTGTGCAGCAGCTGGGCCTGGCCCTCGACTACATGCACAGCAAGAGCCTGGTGCACCGGGACATCAAACCGGAGAACGTCCTGCTCTTCGACCGCGACTGCCGCCGCGTCAAACTGGCCGACTTCGGCATGACCCGCAAGGTGGGCTGCCGGGTCAAGCGCATCAGTGGCACCATCCCCTACACGGCGCCCGAGGTGTGCCAGGCCGGCCGGGCCGAGGGCTTTGCTGTGGACACCAGCATCGATGTCTGGGCTTTCGGGGTGCTCATCTTCTGCGTCCTCACCGGCAACTTCCCCTGGGAGGCGGCGGTGGCGTCCGATGCCTTCTTCGAGGAGTTCGTGCGGTGGCAGAAGGGGCGGCTGGGGGGGCTGCCCTCGCAGTGGCGGCGCTTCACGGACAGTGCCCTGCGCATGTTCCAGCGCCTGCTGGCCCTCGACCCCGAGAAGCGCTGCCCCGTCAAGGAGGTTTTCTACTTCATCAAGTGCGACCTGATGGCCGAGGTGCGGTGCCGGCCCTCCTACCGCTCCCGCAAACACACCAGGGACAAGCTCCCGGCCGGCTCCCACTGCCACGAGGCCGCCGGCTCCTGCACCCCCGCCCCGCTCAAGAGGACCGTCCTGACAGAAGGGAGCGGAGCGCGCGGCCCCGAGTCCAGCGCGGCCGCCCCGGGGACGGCCAGCAGGACAGATGGACGGCAGGACAAAGGCAAAGGACAGATGGTCCTGGCCACAGCAATAGAGATCTGCGTCTGACGGCGCCGCGGCAGCGGCCGCACGACCCGTCCTGTCCCCCCGCCCCGGCAACAGGGATGGGAGGAGTTGCTCGTGGTGGAGGCACGAGCCGGGACCAGGCTCTGGGTCTCCCAAAGCAAAAAAAAAGGAAAAGAAACACAAACGAAGAGGAAAAGGACAGAACTGGTTGCGCTCCGTAGCGCCGAGGATGCCAATGCCCCCACCCTGCCTGGGTGAGGCCGGCAGCGGGAGCCCAGCCAAGGGCACCGCGCGCTGCCAGGGAGGACAGGGGTGCCCACGGTCCTGCCATGGCCATGCTGCCCCTCCGAGGCTTCCCACAGGGTGGCATGGGGAGAGGTCTCCCAGTACAGGGAGGAAGAGTCGGGAGGGTAGTGGATGGGAGGTCCGAGGCAGGCAGTGCCCACTGGCTCTCCCCCACCCTGTGCTTGATCCCTGGACTGGGAGCGGGAAGGCCGATGACCCCATACCATGGAGGAGGCCTTTGGGGAGGTTTGGGTGGGTGATGATTTGTCCCCTTCTACCAATCCCTGCCCCACTGGTGGGGACCAGGAAGGGATGAGGAGATGGGCACCGGGCTGGTGATGGGGAGCTGGGGGGTTTCAGGCAGCCCAGGACCCCTGGCAACCCCGGCTGCCTCCCCGTGGTGGGAGGTGCTGGCAGCCATCGATGTAGCAAGTGTCCCTGTCTGTGTGTCATTGTGTGTCCCACCACTGCCACTGGCAGCCCCTGTCGCCCCTGCCCTGCCCCACATGGCCCCAGACCCCACTGGAGGGACAGGTCCCTCCAGCCGGGAGCTGTGCTCTGGGCTGTGGCCCGTGGCCACAGTGCCATCCAGCAGGTTGGATGCTCAGGGCCAAGCTGGCTCTGCCATAGTGGCATCTCTGCAGACTCTCTGTCCCTGGGGACTGGAAGAGGTGGCAGCAGTGCAGCCCCAGGCTGGCCTGCACACCCCGGGAGCAGGGGAGGGGGCTCCGAGCGGCCTCCAGAGAGCCAGCCTGGTTCCCTGTGCTCATTCCATCACCCCTCCTCGCTGTCACCCCTTCCCCAAACTCTGTCACTCTCCCCTGGGGCTGGCGGGGAGGAGGCGGTGGGATGGACCCCCGGGGCTGGCTGCAGCAAGGCAGGGGGTGGTGGCAGGAGCCGCTGGTGGTCCCTTAGTGACAAGGTCACGGGGGAGTGTGTGTGGGACACAATTCCCCTCGTGGTTTTGGGCACCCAGCAGAGTGGGGGGCTCACCCGGAGAGGGTGGGGGGCACCCCAAGGCGGCAGCACTCTGGTATGGTTTGGGCTTCCCTCCCATCGGGTGGGTGCCGGGGGGACCCCCTGTGCCCCCCGGCGCCGCAATTCCCGCACCAAGGGCTATCCCGCTATCCAGCAGCAGCAGCAGCAGCAGTTTACAGAGCAGGCGGGCGGACCCCCCGCCCCCGCTGCTGCCCCCCGGCCCCTCTGCCCCCCGCCCGCGGTGCCGGGCCCCGGGCGGCCTTAGAAGTAGCATTGCCCCTAAGTAGAGACGCTCTAGGCACCGGTTTTTCTCCTTTTTGCCTTAGGTCCCTCGATGTCCTCAATCTTTCGTGCAATAATGTAGATAAGGGATCCCGGGAGGGCTCGGCGGTGCCTCTCTGGGAGGGCTCGGCGGCACCTCCCGGGGGTCTGTCCCGGGGGGGTGCCCCGTGTGATTTCTGTCCCCATCGAGGTCGCTGTGTCGGTAGGTTGTCGGGTTTTTATTTCCAGTTCCCTCAGCTGTCGGGTTTCAGACCTTCTTCCCGTAGGAGAGGCTGTAGTGTCACAGACGTTACCTCAGTTTGTCACTGTTGAAAAGGATTAAAAAAAAAAAAACAAAAACCACAACTGAAACCATAAAAAATTACAAAATACATAGTTATAAAAGCAACAAAAAAAAAATTGTCAATGGCGGTGAAGACTTTTTTATTAAATAAAGCAAAAGTGATGCTGCTGGTGTGGGCGGGGGAGCACAACCTCTGCCTGGGGCTCGCTGTCCCCCCACTGTCACCACGTCCCCTCCATGCCCGGCCATCGTGGCCACCCCTGGGTGGGAGGGAAGGAGCACGGGGAGCAGCACCGTGGGGCAGGGCGGCAGCTCCCTTGGGTGGGGGGCACCGAGCTGCCCTTGGTGCAGCCCCCTCTGAACAGCCAGGGCTGCCTGATGCCAAATGTATTCCAGCCACGTCCGCAGGCTAATTTCAATTTCCTGGTAATTATGCAAATGAATGTGGATTTAATTAAGGGCAGATTTCATTAAAGTCTTCTTGGGGAAATGAGAACAGGATGGGGGAGAGCGAGGAGGACGAGGAGGAGGTGGCAGGGAAGAGGAGATGAAGGCAGCGCCCGCCCCGGAAGATAAATAGTCACAGGGGATGCCGAGGGGATGGATGGGATCCCTTGGGAGTGGAGGTCCCACTGCTCCCTGCCACAGGACCCCCATCGCGGGGGGCTCGCGGTCCCCAGCCCAGGGCGGGGGCTGTGTGCTGCACAGCTGGGAGCAGTGCCTGGGATGGACCCGGGAAGATGCAGCTCCTTGGTGCATTCCCAGCCCCGCTCCAGGGACAGGGCGCCGAGCCCCGTTCATCCACAACTCCAGCAGCGACGGCTCTTGTCTCCTTCGCTCCCAGCAGGGCAGGGAAAGCATTGCTTCGACACGTGATTTATATTTTTTTCTTCCCCAGCTAAAAATACAGATTTGGCCACGACAAGAGGTCCAGGAAATCAATGTCATTGTCACCAGGCGCTGGCTGGCAGGACCCTCCCCTCCCCGATGCAGACAAAAAAAGGGAACGCTGCCATTTGACGTCCTCGAGCTGAACCTCCCGCGGCTCCAGCGGAGCTGCCTTTAATTCAAACTGAAATGGATAATTTTATCCCGGCAAGGTCGGGATGCTGAGCCCGGCAGCGCCGGGAGGGCCAGAGCTGCTTGTCTCCAGGTAAAACCTTCAGACCCAAAAAACGTGTCTGAAGTTTACCAAGCCACCACCTGCCCAACAAAACCACCACATCCCTGCATTACTTCCAAGTTTGCTCCCAGGTTTGGCCAGGAAGGCAGCCGGGCATCCCGGGGGCCGTGACCACTGACCTTGGGCAGTGCCCCAAGCAAAGGATGAGCAGCACAATCACTGCTCTGAAAGGAAAATAACTCCTCGATTTGTACAGATCCTGGAGGACTGAAGGGAAGAGGCGCAGGGTGGCAGGTGTGGGGTGGCGTGGATGTGGGTGCATGTGTAAAACCAGATCTCTCCCGAGCTGGAAAGGCCTGGCTGTTACACTCAGCTGCTGAACCTTCCTCTCATTTCATCCACCCTTTGATTCCAGAGCTGGATTGTGCCCGGTTTTGCTCAGAGACACCAAGTGAGGCACTGCAGCCCCAGCTAAAACACCAGGGGTTGAGAGTAAAAATAGCTGGGAATGATCCACTCAATGGGAGCACAATGATCCATGCCAAGCTGGCATTGCAGGAAGTCCCACCCCAATCCCAAGCAGGTCCTTTAAAAGGTAATGTTTTGCCACTAAGACGGTGCTTCAGCTCCCCCCTGACTCAGGAGGGGCTGTGGGATGAGAAGTGAGTTCCCACTCACGCATCCCAAACTGGGAGGGGAGTGCAGGATCCGGGCTGACGGGGGCTTCCCTAGCCTGGCACAGGGACATGGGGGGACGTGAGCCTGGCGTGGTGAGGACCCATTAAATGTGCTTCTCAGGGCTGATCTGCTTCCAAGAATTTCCAAAAATAGTGGCAGCACCAAGCTGGAATGGGCGTTGGGAGGAAATGTGACTCATGTGCCACCCGGCACCCCAGCGGAACCGAGCACAGGGCTGAGCAGGAATGCTGTAGGGATGGGAGCTGGGGGAGGAGGCACGAGGGGATGCAGCTCAGGTTCATCCCTGCCTGTCCTTCCCTCGGGGCCCCTCTGCTGTCCGTGATTCCAGCTGCTGGGAATGATGGACAGACGTCAGTTAAAGCCTGGCAGCTGCCAAGGGCCCCAGCGGGGATGAGCTGCTGGAGCCAGACAGCAAAAGCTGTCCTGAGGTGGAGAAAAATCCAGCTTGTGCCACGTGAGATGTCTCAGCAGGGCCATAGCTGGTGGAAGAAGGGAGAGGTGACCTTGTGTGACAATCCAGCCACTTCTGGGAAGAGGGAGAGCAGAGCTGGCTGCATCTCCAGCCCCATCCCATCACAGCCAGTTCCCAGGTACATCCCTGCCTGGTGGAAAGAGCCCTGTGAGCATCCCAGAGGGAACAGCTCTGGGCCAAACCCTGCTGGGTGTTAAGTGCCTTTGCTCCAGCCTCAGCCAGCCAGGAGGATTTCAGCACAGGGCAGAGGGAAGCAGGAGGCTGCTGACATCTCTGCATTGGCTTTGTGCTCCCTGCAATGGGTTTGGACACATTTTTTCATACAAAGGTGTTTTTTCCCCTTGGAAAACCCAGTGTTTTCACCAGGGTCTTTCAGCTGAAAGAGAGGTGGGTGTGTCAGCTTTGGGAGGAGGGGGTTGATGGCAATTTTGGGGTGTGGGGGGGATGCCAGGGCTCAAGGGAGGGGATGGAGAGCACCCCCAGCCCTGCACACTCCCCCACCACCCAAAGGGGTGGGTTATGGGCTCCAGCTCGCAGGTCTCCCACGTTGCCATGACAACAGCAGCATCCCAGCTTGGCAGGGATGGGAGATCTCCTCCATCCCACCCCTGCCTCGCCCGGACATGGGTCTGGATGCCAGCACAGGCAGCACCCCTGCCGTGCCTGCTCAGGGTGCCCGGGGCAGCACCCCAAGCCCACAGAGGAGCACAGGGTGCTGTTCCTGCTGACCACACTCCTCTGAATCCAGCCCTTCTTTCACATCCCTCCAAAAGCCACAGGGCTGCCAGGGCAGGGGCAGGAAAGGGTTCTGCTTTTCAGGTGAGTATCTTCCCATTCCAGAACCCTCTACCTGCTCCAGCTTTGCAGGATCCTGGCTAGCACAGCTTCCCTCTGCCAGCTACAACACCCCCAGGCTGCCCCCAAACCTCTCCCCTTCTCCCCCGGGGTGGTAGGGTGGGCAGTGGGCTCCCAGATTGTGGATCCTACTCCCCCAGTCACCCCAGATTTGGGAGCAGCAGAGCCAGAGGTGTCTCTGGGGTGGTGTTATCCCACACTAATCAGAGCATCCTCATGGGTGGCTCTCGCTCTCTGCAGCCTCCCAACTCCTCAGCTCTCAGCCTGGAGAGATGCAGAGCTAAATCCTCCCTGACATCGGTGACACCAGGCTGGGGAGAAGTTAAGCTCCTTGCCTCAGAGGCTGCTACATCTCCGGAAAAGTTGTGTTTGAAAAGCGTTAATACAAGATTAATTGAGGCTTTAATAAACAGCAAATCAAGTGCTAATGGAGCCCAACTTGTAAGCCATGTGTAACACCTCAGGGGCTTAAAGGCATCCAGAATTTGCTTAAAGGGGGTGTTAATCACCTTGTAGCCCCAAAGATGCCATGTGGGAAAGAAATTTTAGGAGAAAAGGCTGCAGATGAGCCAGGAGTGCTGCCTCACCACTCTGACCACTTCGGAGTGGGGGGTTTATAAGTGTTTCCCCCACCCCAGGCCCTGACAGGAAGGCAGGCAGAGGAATTTGGGTCACCTGAGTGCCTCTGGGGCTGGAGTAGAGTCAGGAGCCACAATGAAGAAAGGCCAGTCTATAAGGGATGGCCAGATCCCACCTGGAGTGTAGCTACCCCCCAGTCACGGAGCAGGGGCTGGAGGGGTAACTGGGGACCATTTGGAGTGGGCAAACCCTGCAGCTGGCCTGGGTCCCTCTCTTGGGCTGCACTTCCTTTGCCTTGTTCCCATCTGCACTTCCCTTGCTGAAGCTTTGCCACTTCATCCCTCTGCTTTGCACCTCCCCATCCTCTCTGCTTCCAGCACCAAACAATCCCGAGCAGTGGTTGAGACCCCTCACCCTTCTCTTCTTCACACCGAGGCAGGTCCAGCTCCCTCAGCCTCTCCTGGCCTCACTCCAGCTTGTGGCACACCTGCCATCACCCGAGGGACTGGCCCTTCCCAGCCTGGTTCCAGGAGCACTGCCAGGAGCCTTTCCCAAGGATGGAGCTCTGGTTCCCAAGTCCTGCTTTACCCCACGAGCATGGCTGGTTCTGCAGAGCTCCTGGGCCTTGTCTGCCCCACGAGGCTGGCCAGGATAGCTCATACATGCCAGGACTGATTGTCTGGCTGACCCCCAGGGTGCCCAGACAACTGACTTGGCTTGAGATCCAAGGGGACTCCAATATTTGGAGGCTGCCAGACACACTGGCTGGGAGACTCTGGAGGCTGGGCAACTGAGTACAGGCTGTGGCTGTGTGAGATGCTCAGCAGCAGGTGGATGGATGGACTGTGGTAGTTTAGTGGTCAGGACCACGGTTTAGCATGGTCACATCCATGAGTTTGGATATCTGCCTTCAGGGGAGAGGAGCAGCTTCACAGGACCCCAGGGCACTTTGGCTGCCATCAGCACTTTGGATGGTTGAAGCAGCCCAAGGTTGTCTGTCAGGAGCTAAACACCATCTTGGCTGGCTTCCAGATTTGCCAAGGGAGGCTGGATCTTGTGGAAGGACAGGCCGGGCTCAGAGACTAGGACCAGCACAACGGTCACACTGGTCTTACAGCAAACTCCCCACAGGACAAGGCATCTGGCTCTGAGTTGACTGGAGACAGCAGCTCTTGGGAGCCACTTGTTCTTGCTACTCCCCAGCTTTCTGGGAGACATTCACCAGCCAGTCTGCTGTGAGAGGGAATCAACCACCAACAGCTCAGGATCTTCTGCCAAGAGCTCTGGAAAGGAGGAGCCCTACACCCAAAGTCACCACTCAGGGCA